CTTTCTCTTTCCCTCTCTCTTTCTTTTTCTCTTTCTCTCTCGCCCCGACGACACTCCAGACTTTCTTTCACTCTCTCTCTTTCTTCTTCTTTTCCTTCGTATCTCCAGACCTGAATCACGAAACCAACACAGTGTAGCCGCGTGACCCCCCCCCCCCACCTTCCACTCTTCCAACAGCCTCGACACCAACTCACGCCCAAACTAGTTCCGTATTCCGCGCCCACCACCTCCCGCTTCTCCTCCCCTCCTTATCCTCCTCCTTATCCTCATCCTCACCCTCATCCTCAGCCGCTTCGAAGACGTGACCTCGCCCACCCTTCCTCTCCTCCCGCCTCCCCCTCCCCCTCTTCCGTCCCCCCCCACGCCCACCCAGGGGGAGAGAACGCTCGACATAGATCGTCGATTCTCCTCGTTCTCTCCGCCTTTTCTGGTTCCATTACCCGCGACCTCCGGATAAGGGCCCCGGATCGTGCAAATTCGATTACCAACATCTAGGCGCTTCTTTTCCGGAGTTTAAATGGCCGGCCGCTGGTTCCCTCGCTCCCATATACACGTAAGTGCTTGGTGCGTGCGTGCGTGCGTGCGCGTGTCGAGGAGAGAGAGAGAGGCGTGGAGGGAAGGAAAGGCAGTGGCGGGGGCTGAGAGAGGAAGTTAGGAAGGGAAGAGAGAGAGGAGAGGGAGGAGAAGGGGTTAGGGAGGGAGAGGCAGGGATGGAAGATGGAGGGAGGAGAGGGAGAGGGAGGGTGTGGAAGGGAGGGGAGAGGGAGAGGGGCAGAAGGGATATAATATAATATATATATATATATAGATATATAGAGAAGAGAGAGAGAGAGAGAGAGAGAGGAGAGAGAGAGAGAGAGAGAGAGAGAGAGAGAGAGAAGAGAGAGGAGAGAGAGAGAGAGAAGAGAGAGAGAGAGAATGTCACCGTAGCGTTAGCACCGTTCTTCTTTCTACACCCCAACAATCATTTCCCTTCGTAGACCCTTCTGCGCCACTCCTTGCCCTTATCCGATGGCGGTTTTTGCACACAGCCGCCCCGAACACTGCTGGGGAATAAAACGTTTTTTTTTTTTTTTTTTTTTTTTTTTTTTTATACCAGTATAAAGCATATTCAGAAACCTTCGGCAATCCACTCCACAGAACACCCTCCCTTATAACTCACCAGCATGCAATACCCGATCGCAACGCACGCCCGTACCTGACCTCACGCCCACCTCCTTCGCGAGGACGCTGCCCCGACGCCCAGAGCCTCCCCCGCGCGCGGCTGCCGTCCTCCGGTGTCCAGCAATTCTCCATCTGTAGGACGCAGACAGGGAGGATCCCCGCCCCGCCCCTGTGACCCCGCGTCCTCTCACGCCCATCTCGGCGGCCCTTTCACGCCCATGACCTAATGTCCTCCATGTTCCTATCCCTCAACCTTCCCCCGGCGCCCTTTCAGTGTACGCACGCCCACGCCCTGTCTCGAGGAGTCTCCGCCCTCGACCCTTCGCTGCTACATAAGGCCCTCGCTTTCCACTGCTATCTTCGTCAATGAACTGTTCACCCTCCGCAACAAAACCTCGTTCACTTATACATTCGTTCACTCCCTCTTTTCCATGCAGTTCCCACTCATTCGTTCATCAATCCGTTCATTCATACACACACTTATTTTTTTTTCATTCTTTCAATCCCCATTCCGTCCCTCCCTGCACCCCTCGCTTATTCCTTAGTTCCTCCCTCCACTCCGCTGTTCCCTCAGCCTCCCACTAACTTATGCTGGAAATTATGCAGGAACACCAGCGTCGGCGTCTGCAGATAACCTTCCCTTATTCGCTTTTTGCGCGCCGCCGCCTCGAGGGCGAGCGACGCAGATAACGCTATCGTTAAAACCACATTATCACGATAGAGGCCGGGGTACATCCGGGCCTACAACCCCCGCGAGGCCGCCGAGGTCGAGAGGGCCCTGTCAACTCCCCTTCCTTCGCCTGCCTCTCCCAGCCCCAGCGCCCCCTGCAGGATATCCCCTTCCCATCATCAGAATCCCTCCACGTCCCCTAACTCAGCCCCTTCGCCCCCGCTCAAAAATCCCCGGCCAGGATCAAAGGCCAGAGAGCGCTCCCGAGGGCCCCGCCGCCTGCCCTCGACGGCGCCCTCGTAATTCGCCCGCGTCGGAATGGCAAGGGCCCCCGCACGCCCGCCATTATCCCAGTACCCGAGGGAGAGGCACACCGCGCGGGCCACGCACCAGCTCGGGCCCTTTTCGCTCGCCTTAAACGGGCGGAGATCGAGTTAAACGCCCCTCGGCTCCGGCCACGGTTCGTCGGGTCACGCCTGGTGCCATGACTTCCTCGAGGCGAGCCAGGGCATGCCATGACAGCACGGGTATTATCTGCTGATGACGCGCGGGCTAAGCGGAGGCGATCAACCACTGCCACTCCCCCGGCGTTCTAAGATTCCGCCTTTTCCCCGCCTTCTCTGCAGACGTTTTCTTTCCTTTTGTCAAACAGTTTAAGACGCTCCATCGAATCCTGTTGCCACGGAACCTCGCAGGACAAGCACGCACAGCTAGAGCGGCAAAAATCCCACATTGCACGACCGTATTCGCATATATATATAGAGGTGACTGACGGCCTCAATTGACAAGGAGGATTCAAGGTGGAGGAGGATGTTGCAATCGCATTCCTGAGGCCGCGATGCCCACATTACTGCCATAAAGTCCCCGTGAGTCAGACGCCTTTCTTATCTCCGTTTACGACCCGGCCTGCCAGGTATATCCTTATCAACGAGACTCCTACAAATCGCCTGGGATTACGCTGATGGAGGACGCCTTCAGTCTCATTACCCGCTCGGAGGGACGACTAATTAGTTCGCTGACGGAAACAACAAAGGATCAATGCCCCTCCTGCAATGGCGTCGGTTACTTCTGCCAAGGCGTTTAACTCAAGCGACGACGACGAAGACGACGACGACGAGACGACGAGACGAAGACGACGAAGACGACGGCGACGACGGGCGACGGCGACGGGACAGCGACGGCGAAGACGACGGCAGCAAGAAGATACTATCTCATTTCCACTTTAATGGCCTTCCAGTTCCTTATCTTCCATCTTCATCAGCTGCCATTCGTCTTCTCTCGTCAATTTCGCGGTGCGCCCGGAGATCGATTATGATGGCACGCAGCCACATCATAAACTCCCCGGACTTACAATCTTCCGCCAAAGCAATCGCAGAAGGAACCACCCCCCCTTCCCCCCTCCCCCAATCAAATGACCCCCGCGTGAAGGACCCCAACCCCGGAACCCTCGCCCAACGAGACCGCTTAACCCCAAGACGTCAAGAGGTCCCGGAGGAACCTCGTCCGCCGCCGCTTAGCGAAGCGCACCCGCCCAATCCCTCAGCCCAATCGGAGGAACGCACGGGACTCCGCCAAAAATCCAATCAGCGAAGAAGATTGGCTATACACGCAGCCTCCCCCCCCCCATGATTATGACTCGCATATCCCCCCACTCCGGGACCTCCGCGAAAACTAGACCTAAATCCCCCCTTAAGTATCCCCCGCTCGGCCCCCCCTCCACGCGACGCCCTAGCCCCCCCCCACCCTGTTTCCCCTGCTAATCGTCGCCCTAATCGAGGGCCCCAAGCACAAGACCTCGTTAGCAGCGGACAGGCAAGCACGTGATGAATATCCTCGTCGGCCATTACGCGAGGGTAGTCCGCCGCCCCGGTCCCCGACGTCGGGCCAGCCACACGTCGGCGGCCGCCCTGCGAGCACGCCCAAAGGCCTCATACCCCGTGCAGGTCGGCGTCAAGGGGGATGCTGAGGCCACGGGGAGCACGATCAATAGGGCTGCACTGCGTCCATAGGCCTATATAGGCTGCTTGCAATAAAGCAGAGCGGAAGCAACATAAAGGGAGGGAATGTGTGTGTGTGTGTGTGTGTGTGGTGTGTGTGTGTGTGTGTGTGTGTGTGTGTGTGTGTGTGTGTGTGTGTTGTGTGTGTGTGTGTGTGTGTGTGTGTGTGTGTTTTGCGCGCGCTAGAGAGGGGTGATAAAAGGTGGAAGAATGAAAAAAAATTGGAGTAGACCAAGGAAAAAGAGAAATAGAAAAGGAGAGAAAGTGAAAGAAAAGAGGTAAGTAAAATAAGGTCCGTAGGAGCGAGGGAGGGGGGGGCAAAAGCTATGAAGAGAGAGAGAGCAAGAGAGGGGCAGAGAAAGCGACAGAGAGAGGGGTAGGGAAAACAAAGGACGTGAGAAGGAAGGGAGGGAAAGAAAGGGAGAGCGCCAGGGCAGCGCCGCACAACCAGAGCACACACCCAGAGTCCCTGGCTCTACAACAACACAATCAACAGTCCCACAATCACGAGAGGGTGCCACGCTACAACCCCAGCCTTGGCGATAGTGAAAGTCGCGAGACAGAGGCTGCGCGTCGCATGTCAATTACCCCCACGATTCTGACAGAAACACTGGCGGCGCCCCTGTATGGCGGTGCCGCTCCCCGCTCCCCGCTCGCCCGCGCACCTGCCAGCAGCAGGAACACCTGCACGGCTCCGGCGCCGTAACTCATCGCGGCGGACATGGTCGTCTTCGGCTCCCTGGCGCGACGACGGGCGGTCGAGGGAGAGAAATGGAGTCGTGTCCAAATTGGAATCTGTTGGCACCCTCTGAATGCTATGCGAGTAAATCTGGTTATTCTGTAGATTGCCTTCCCTGACGGAGCGCTGCTGCGACTCAGGTGAAATTGGAGAAAGGATCGACGTCTTGGGATGGAAGGATGACGAAATCCCTCGACGGTGACGACACGAAAGATAAATCTTGAAAAACAGCCCCGCTACATCTCGATCTCGCCCGGGCGGGGAAGGTTCCCGATAAAGAAGAGATCTATTGTCAGTCTCCATAACGAGCGCTCAGTCGGAAGGCGGCAACAGCGAGCACTTCCCGCGAGGCAGCCCCTGCGTCGGCATCAACCAAACCGACGGCGTGAGAAAACGCGGCCGACGCGTCAGCCGAGAACATCTATAATTCATGAGCAACCCTCGCAGGGGCTTCTCAGCGCCGTCCACAGCCGACGAGGCCGCCCGACGTGCACGAGCACGTATTCCGCTTCCACCGCGCGGACACCTGCAGTCCCCGCTCACGTCAGCGCCCAGAATAGCCGCGGAGGTGCGTGCGGGTGTGGGAGACGAGCGGCCCGCGGCAACGCGAAACAGTGACCAATTATCCCTTTGATATGAAGAGGTTCATGCACCCTCCGCCGCTCGCTCCCCGCCCGAGCGCCCGAGCACAAGCGCGAGTCGAGACCACACACGCCTCCTCCGAAGGACTACGTTTCGCATTTCGTAAAAAGATAATACTCTATAATATCCACTCTTCTCAAATAAGGAAGTCGTAACGCAAGGCATTTCCCACCGGCGGCCAAGCGACACCGAAGGCAAAAGCGAAGAAGGCAGGAAGGCGGCCCCGAATCAGAGAGGGACGGCGGCAGAGTGCGAGCACGCGCGCCCGTCCCGAGCCCTTTCCTCCGATCAAGCGACCGCAACGTCCTCGTGACCGCACTGCACTGCATGACAATAATCCCCGCGGCCGAGAGAGGGAGGAGAGGGGGGGGGTGCCACCTGTCGAACGTTCCATACTCAATGAACTTTCGACGCCACTCACTGTCAGGGGCGCCCCCTCGGGAGAGCGGCTGACAATCCCCTCATTAAAGCGGCGTTTTCCTCCGCCCTGCTTCCCTTCACTGTCGCTCATCAATAAGATCTCACCGAGAAAAAAAAAATCATCCAATTACAGACTCCCACTTGCCCGACGTCTTCCGCTCGACGCCTCCGTGCGCCCCCTCCTCCCCCCTCTCGCGCGCCCGCCAGGAAACGCACGATCCCCGCGCGAGCAAAAGCCCCGCGCTCCCGCCACACAAAAAGGCGACAAACCGCCCCAAACGCACCGCTCGCCGCCGCCATTATCGCTGCTTTCACGCTATTATTCCGCCTCGTAATAGGCCGCCACCACGGGGCCGGGGAGCCAAGGTTCTGCGCCCCCGCCCCCCTGCGCCTTCCTGTCACGCATCCGACGCTTCGTGCAAGCCCTGCTCGCGCCTCCAACACAGGCCCCCTTCTTCCCTTTTCTTTTTTTTTCTTATTCCCTCCTTTCAGTGCCTATACTACTCAGTCGAGTACCCTTTCTGGCCTTCCAATTCTTCCTTCGTGACCATTCTTACCCCCTTCATCAGTCAAACCCCAAAACGCGAGAGCAGCTTCCGAAGGGACGTGCAAAGACCCGTAGAAAACGCCGGCAGTCGATTGTTATGCCGCCCGCCCGTCCCTCCCCGGCTGAGGCGCCGATCAACCCCTAATCACTCCATGATTAGACGCGCTTCTGCCTGGGCTAAGGGGAGCATCAGCCCGGGAGAAGACCCCTGCGGAGGGTTCAACGCATCCCGGAGTGACATTCATGGTTCTGTGCGCGTGAGTGCATGACGTCACGGCCCGCTACCTCATATCGCCAGTTTCTATCATGACGAGACTGGCGTCGCTGGCGGCGGAGCTCCGACAAAGCCAACGACACACTTCATTCTCCAAAGCCGATGCTCCCGCCGGCCGCGACGCGCCCACCACTCGCTCATGACGCCTCCCCATTTGGCCGCGACGCCCACGCCCGAGATCCCAGCAGTCCCTTCCGCGATTCAGTGCCCCACCCCCAACCTACTCCTCCCACCCCTGCACCACGTCCATGCACCCCCTCCTTCCGCCCTTCGTGCTTCCTGCCCGGCAGCCACTCCAGCCCCCCCCCTCAAGGCACGGCACTTCAGCCCCTTCCCCGCAAGACCCTCCGTCCCGCACCGCCGCGACCTCCGCCACCCCACACGAGGCCGCAGGCAACCCCCCCTCCAGCATTCCTTCGGCAGAAACGTCCCGCGCCCCCGCCGTGAAGAGAGGGAGGAGAGGGAGAGAGAGGGAGGGAGAGAGGGAGAGGGAGAGGGAGAGGAAGAGGGAGAGGGAGAGGGAGAGGGAGAGGGAGAGGGAGAGGGAGAGGGAGAGGGAGAGGAGGGAGGAGGAGAGGAGAAGGAGGGGAGAGGGAAGAGGGAGAGGGAGAGGGGGAGAGGAGAGAGGGGAGGGGAGTAAGGGAGAGGGGAGGGAGAGGGAGAGAGGAGAGGAGGGAGTGAGAGGAGAGGGAGAGAGAGGGAAGAGAGATAGAGAGAGAGAGAGAGAGAGAGAAGAGAGAGAGAGAGAGAGAGAGAGAGAGAGAGAGAGAGAGAGAGAAGAGAGCCAGAGAGAGAGAGATGCTACCATCACCCCCCCCCTCGCATCAACCGTTTATCCCCATCATCGTCCTCCTCGCGGGTCATGTTCCACGTCCCCGCCCGGCGTCCGCCCCGAAGGACCTCGCTATATCGGCACAGACTATAAGGGGCTCCCCAACAGAGGAGGAACATCCGAGCTGCATCCCTCTCTCTCTCTCTTCTCTCTCCCTCCCCTCCCGTCTCCCTCCCCTTCTCTCCTCCCCTCTCTCCCCCCTCTCTCCTCCCTCTCCCCTCCCTCTCCTCTCTCTCACCCTCCTCTCTCTCTCTCCTCTGCCTCCTCTCTCTCCTCTCCTCTCTTCTCCCCTCTCGGTGTCCGTCCCGTCGCGCTAAAAAAAAAGTCAAACACCAAGAAAAGGGAATGAAGAGAAAAAAAAAGAGAATAACCCTCCCCTCCCCCCCCCCCGTTTAATTAACTGATTAATCACCAAGCCGGCAGCAACTCCGGTACTGAGGACACAAGCCACACATCTTATTCAAGAACAAATTTTCATCCGTTGGGCAAAGACTATGTCAAGAAAAGTTAATGGGATCAAAAAAAAAAAAAAAAAAAAAAAAAAAAAAAAAAAAAAATATATATTATATATATATATATATATATATATATATATATATATATATATATAATATATATATAGAGAGAGAGAGAGAGAGAGAGAGAGAGAGAGAGAGAGAGAGAGAGAGATCAAAACAAAAATAAATACACAAAAATGAATAAAAAAAAATAAATGTAACAAATATAGATAAAACAAAAAATAAATACAAAAAAATTAATAAAAACAAAAATAAATGTAACAATATAGAATAAAACAAAAATAAATACAAAAAAAATGAATAAAGCAATAAAATAAATACAAATAAATACAAAAAATAAAACCAACAAAACAAAACAAAATAATTAATAAACCCTCGACCATCCTTCCAATACGCCCACCCGAGCGCCTTCCCCCTCCGCAGCTTCCGAGAGAAATGAGCGTCCCGGGGCAGGCAGCTGGAGGAGGCCGCCCCACGCGAGCCGCCGCCGTCGCAGGAGCCGGGATGGAAGCTGGAGAGACTCTTCGGCGCGGGCGGCGCAGGGCGGCGCTTCCCTCGCGTTTCCCTGCCCCTTCCGCCCTGCATGGGCTTCGGTTTCTTTATACAGTCTACTAGTTTTTTCGTCTTCGTCTTCTTCGTCTTCTTTCTTCTTCTTCTTCTTCTTTCTTTCTTCTTCTTCTTCTTCTTTCTTCTTCTTCTTCTTCTTCTTCTTCTTCTTCTTCTTCTTCTCTTCTTCTTCTTCTTCTCTTCTTCGTCTTCTTCTTCTTCTTCGTCTTCTTCTTCATCATCGTCTCTTCGCTTTCTTCTTTCATCGTCTTCTTCATCTTCATCATCTTTCATCATCATCTTCATCATCGTCTTCTCATCTCTTCATCTTTTTTTTTTTTTTTTTTTTTTTTTTTTTTTGGGGGGGGGATCTATTTACAACCCTGCTCTTCTGTTCTATTTATTCCCTTCTCTCTCCTACTCTACCTAATGCTAATGGGATCTAGAATTATCTGCAGCGTCAGCAGCTTAGGTCATTAGCGGCGAATTCAAACGTTAAATTGATATATCGATAATTGATCTGCATATATAACTCATATAGTTAATTAAAAACGTAAATTTATATAATATATATATATTATATATATATATATATAATATATATATATTATATATATATACGCCCACACAAACACATATAGCAAGATAGATAAACTGATAGACGGATAGATAAATAGATAAATATCGATTGATAGACATATCTAAATGAAGATAAATATAGATACACCGATCAACCGATAGACAGCCATCCATCCCTATCTATCTCGCTGTCTATTTACCCATACATTTCTTATTCAATTTCTTCATCAGCATTTTCTTCGTCAGTCTCCTGCTGCCTTACTTCATCTACCTCTTTTTCTCGTTCTTTCTTCTTCAATATTTGCCATTTCTTTCTTTTTCCTTTCTCTTATTCCCGTTCCTTCTTTTCTCTCTCCCTTTCTCGCTTGCTCGTTCAATAATGTTCCTTAGTCTCCTGTTCCCTTACTTCATCTACCTTTTTCCTTTTTTCCTGCAGTTTTTGCCATTTTTCCCTTTCTCTTATTCCTAGTTCCTAGTTTTGTCTCTCCCTTTCTTCCTTGCTCTTTCGATAATGACTTGAAGCACACGCCGGTTCTCGCTCTTAGACTCAGTGAGAAATAATATGTGCGGTTCCAGAAATAATAAATATGAACAGGGTCGGCGGATCAGCTGATACCAAGCTCTCCCTTGTTGATGGAATGTCCCTCAAAATCGGTAAAGAAAAAAATCGTGAATCTACCTTTTTTTTTATGGTTGGATCCCTCTGACGTCTTACTTCTTCCCTGCGTAGTCTTATAGTGCCTTTCTATCTGTCTCTCTTTCTCTTCGTCTCTGTCTCTCCTCTCATCCTCTCTCTCTTCCCCTCCCTCTCCCTCTTCCTTTCTCTATACATTTTTTCTCTCTCACTTCCCCTTTACCTCTTTCTCTTTCTGTATCTCACTTCCCCCCCCCCTCTCTCTCTCTCTCTCTCTCTCTCTCTCTCTCTCTCTCTTCTCTCTCCTCTCTCCTCTCTCTCTCTCTCTCCTCTCTCTCTTCTCTCCTCTCTTCTCTATCTCTCTATCTCTCTATTCTCTATCTCTCTATCTCTCTATCTCTCCTATCTCTCTATCTATCTATCTATCTTATCTATCTATCTATCTATCTATCTCCTATCTCTATCTCTATCTCTATCTCTATTCTCTATCTCTATCTCTATCTCTATCTCTATCTCTATCTCTATCTCTATCTCTATTCTATCTATCTGTCTGTCTGTCTGTTTGTCTCCAAAGAGGGAACAAGCGAGACTCAGGCACAGGTACCACGGCCCTCGCCTCCCCACCTGGCCAACATCTGCCGGCGCCCCCCCCCCACCCCCCACCCTATCTCTCTCTCTGTATGCGCTCACCGATCATGCACGCCCTCCTTCATCTTCGCCGCCCACGTCTGCGTCATGCGAGGGATCTCACCTCTGTTCCAACTTTTTCCCCTCCGTTTTCTCTCTGCCTATACGCTGTGTTTGTGCTTCGTTTGTATCTTTTTTTCATTTTTTTATCCGTTTTTATCTTATTTTTTTCAAGTCTTGTGCTTCGTTGTATCTTTTTATTTATTTTTTTTATACGTTTTTATCTTATTTTTTTTCAATTTTTTCCAACTAGAGGATGCCAGAGTTCCCTCGAGATTCTAGCTGCGATAACGGGGCTGTGCATTCTCCCGTATCTCACGCGCATTCTTGGTGGAATCTTGAGAGAGATTAGGAACGAGGAGGGAGGGAGGGAGGGAGGAGAGAGGGGGGAGGAAGAGGAAGAAGGAGACAGAGAGGGACAGAGGGGTGGAGAGAGAGGAGGAAAGGAGAGCGAGAGGGAGGGAAGGAGAGCGAGTGGGAGAGAAGGAGAAAGAGAAGAGAGAGAGAGGAGAGGAGAGAGAGACAGGCAGACAGACAGGCAGACGGAGAAAGCACTTTACCTATACCTCTTTCACCGTCTGGCGATCGTGAGTGTTGACCGAGAATTTTCTAAACTCACCGTCGACGCAGACACCCCGGAGCGGCTGCGGAAGACGAGACAGTGCTAAGAGTCGACCGGGAAGGGAAGGGACGAGGGGAGGGGGAGAAGGGACGAGGGAGGGGAGGAGGGAGGAGAGAGGGAGAGGGAGGGGAAGAGGGAGAGAAAAAAAGGGGAGGAGCGGGAGAAAGGGAAGAACGGGAGAAGAAGCAAGAGGCAAGAGCAGCAGTGGGAAGGGCGAAGAGAAGGGGGGTGGGGGGGGGGGGGGGGAGGGGGGCGCGGGGCCCGTGGGGGACGCGGGGCTGTGCGGCTCGGTGATGGGCGGGGGGGGGGGGCGGTCCATAATCCAGCTCCTCCGACGCAGAGGTCATTATACATTATATACATATATATGTGATACATATACCAATTATACCATAATATATCACTAATACAACATATATACATACATATATAACCATATATATATACATATATATATACATATAGATATATATCATATATAATATACATATATACATAACATATATTATAAGTACATATATACTACATATATATATATATTATATATATTATATATATACATTATATAGTGGTATATATATAATAATATATAATATATATAATTATATTATATTATACATATATATTATATATATATACCATATATATATACATATATATACATATTAATATATATACATATATATATATATACAAATATCATATACATATATATATATATACATATAATATTACTAATAATTACATTATATATATATATATATATAAATATATATATATACCATATACATACATATATTATATATATTATATATATATACTATATATATATATATATATATATTATATATTACTATATATATTTTATATTAGTATTAATATATATATAATAGTATAATATATATATATAATATATAATTTATATATAATATTATATATATATATATATATAATATATATAATATACTATATATAATATATTATATATATATATATATATATATACATATATTATATATATATGTATAT